TCCTGTCTCTTCTCTAACACAGAGCATCCTGTCTCATACTCTGGACCGGCAGCTCTGGAGACCACGCCCGTGCCTTCCCACACCCGCTCTCCCCACACAGGGCCTCGCGCAAAGCTTCAGGGAAAGCAGACCGACAAACAGGGACCCCCAGAAACAATCCAAAGCCCAGCAACTGCTGGTTTATGCCCTGAATTGATTCCAAATTTCAATTGACCACCCGCCTCCCGTTCCAGGATCCAGGGAGTGTGTGAGTGGGCTTGACTCTCCCAGAAAGAGAAGGGGAGGTTTTGAAGTGACTCGGGGAAGAGCTTGTTGAATAGCACCGAGTTTTGGTAAATCCACCCACGAGGTCGAGAGGCTGGACGTTTGCTTCCCAGCCAGTGTCAGGAATGAGTCTCATTCCCTCCAGAGGAGCGGCATGCGGTGCCATGACGCCTGAGCTGGACGCAGGGGACCAGGGGTCTATTTCAAGGTCCAGCGCTACCTGGCCGTGTGACCTTGGGGAAGACACTCACCTTTTCCAGACCTCAGTTTCTCACTTATGAAGTGTGACTGGGGGGAAAAGAGCAGCCAGATCCTCAAGGAGCCTTCCGCCCTTCCTTCTAGTCCCTGCTTCCTTGCCTCTGGGCCTGGGAGAGCCCAGCTTTGCCTTCATAAGAACCGAGTGCCTCCCTGCTGCCCCCACAGCCTGCTTCCTGCTGCCCCCCTGAGTGGGCCCAGCCCCCGCCCTGTAAAATGTAGCACTTGCTTTAAGGATGTGTTGGAAGAGGAGCTCTTGATTCGAATCCAGCCCCACCCTTCAGCCTTAACTCATCGCACCATCATCCTACCTGCCAACCATACCGCATACTTACTGTGTCAGGCCTTGTGCTGAGAACTTTCTATCCTCTCTCACTGACTCCTTGCAACAACCTCAGAATGTGGGTGCTTTTATCTCTATTCTGCAGATGAGGAAACTGAGGCTTGGAGAAGCAAATGGCTTATCCAGAGCCACAGAGCTGGTGAATGGCAGAGCCTGGGCTGGAAGTCAGATCTCCTGACCGCCTACTCAGTTCTTATAAATTGCATTGTTGTTGGTAGGAGATAGAATAATTGCGAAGGGAACCCTGCATTTGTCAGCTTTGCTGCATAGCAAACAGTCCGCAAATCTCAGTGACTTACAACAAATTCTATTTCTTACTCACATTGCGAGTAGACTGTGGGTCAACCACAGGTGGTCGACTGGCTCGGCGATATTCCTTGAGTTTTCTTGGTCGAATGTCCAGGCTGAAGGTAGTCACTACTTAGGACATGCCATGCCCACGTCAGAACTGAAAGAGCCAGGCAATCAAATTTAAACCTTCGGCTTAGAGATGGTGCACGCCATATCTGCTCACACTCCGTTGGCCAAGGCAAGGGAGATGGCCAGGCCCAGCACCAGCGGAGCAGGGAGCTGTAGTCCTCCCACAGTGAGGGGTGGGGGCAAGGGGCGGGTAATAAATGTTTGCATAATACAGTTGGCCACAAGCCACTGGGCTCTGCAGCCGGATGCGTGGGACTGACTCCTGGCTCTGCCTCTTCAGAGTTGTGTGGCCCTCCATGTGCCTCAGCTGCCTCATCTGTAACGGGGATGGCAATTATAGCCCCGTATCAGGCTGCGAGGGCTGCCGTGACAAAGTGCCGCAAACTGGGTGGCTTAAACAACAGGAATGCATTTTCTCACAGTTCTAGAGGCTGGGAGTCCAAGATCTAGGTGCTGTTAGGGTTGTTTCCGGGGAGGCCTCTCTTCCTGGTATGTAGACAGCCACCTTCTCGCTGTCTCCTCACACGGCCTTTCTTCTGCCTGGTCTCCCTCTTCCTATAAGGACACCAGTCCTATGGGGTTAGGGCCCCACCCTTATCACCTCATTTGACCTTAATTACCTCCCTAAAGGCCCTATCTCCCGATACAGTCACATTGGGGGTTAGGCTTCAACATATGACTTTGGGGGGACGCAGTTCAGTCCATCACAAGCCCCTAATCTGTAGGGCTGTGGGATGATTTAGCGGGTCAGGCACTTAGGACAGTGTCTGGCTCACAGGGAGCACCGAAGAGATGCTAGGTTGCTATCTGTATTTGGTTGTAGTTTGTCCCACGTTGTCCTGATTGGACATCTCCCTGCGATGATGATTCCTTGTTCCATTTATCTTTATATCCTCGGCATCTATCTCAATTTCTGGCACAAACTAGGTGCTCAGAAAATATGTTTTTGGACTCCTACATAGTCCAACAGTTGATGGGAGCCAACCAGGGTTCGAGGGCCCCGGGCTGTGCTCCCAACTGTGTTACTAACCAGCGTGTGACCTTGAGCGAGGCACTGTCTTTTGTCAACCAGGAGGATCCATCACATGAAGACAGAGGTGGTTTTGCGAGCAAAATCTCAGCAGATTTCATTTTCCCTTGGCCTTTTATGCCAACATTTGGGCAATGTTCAGAGCCAAAGTCAACTCAGAGAGGTCCTTTTTTACGAAGAGTTTATTATAAACTTCAAAGTGGCCGTAATTCTCCAACCTCCCCTGGGTACTGTCCCCCACCAGCAAAGCACTGCAATGACCCTGTGTGACAGGGCTGGGCATGGCTGGGCATTGGAAGACCTTCTTCTCGCTGCTTTGTGTCTGGGGAGGTTTCTGCGTCTGGCTTAGGAGTCTGGGCATGTTTTGATCTTGCTGACAGGCACAGAACCACCAGGCTCGGGGCGACCTCTTGGGATCCCATGGCAGCTCTCAAATACCTTGTGTGTCTGTCTCTCCTTCCTAATTCGTGTTACCTTTCCCACGTCCGGCCTTGTTTAGGAATGGCTGTGTCTGAGGTCATTTGTTTAGCAGAGGGCTCCATTAGCCAGGGATGAAAAGATCAAAGGACGTGGGGACAGCTGGACTTTCCAAGTCCTCTGCCTGAGGTGGCTCAGCTCAGCAGTATGGGAGAGGAAAGCACCGTGTGAATGTTCTAGGCCTCCTCCCAGTTCACCACTAATTTATTGTTGGCATGATGAATAATTCAGTATGTATTGACTCTCTCAGGCTTCATTTCCTCATCTGAGAAATGGGAGCGATGACACTTGCCATGAGATATGCAATGTCTGGCCCAGAGTAGATGATGATGAAGAGATGATGATGATTGTGATGGTGATGACGATGATGATGATGAGGATGGTGGTGATGATGGTAATGATGGTGCTAATGGTGATGATGATGATGACGATGGTGATGAGATGATGATGATGGTGATGAGATGATGGTGATGGTGATGGTGATGATGATGAAGAAATGGTGATATAATGATATGATGGTGGTAGCTCAGACCTTAGAGAGCAGTTAGCTACATGCCAGTCATGCTTTAAGCACTTCATGTATGTTGACCTTCTTAATCTTCTCAGCAAACCTAGGAGGTAGGCACTATCAATATCCCTACTTTACAGATGAGGAAATTGAGGCACAGTGGGTAAGTGACTCACTGAAGGATGCACAGCCAGAGTGACAGTCCCCTAGCCACTGCAGGTACAGCCTTGAGGCTCACCTGATGTTAGTTATGCAGGACTGCGTCCTCCTCAAAGCTTCCCTGCATGTGGTGGGGGAAAGGGCATAAGCAACACATGTTGCTTCTTCTGGAAAGGAATTACTTTTGTGTGTGTGTGTGTGTGTGTGTGTGTGTGTGTGTGTGAGGAAGGTTAGCCCTGAGCTAACATCCCCTGCCAATCCTCCTCTTTTTGCTGAGGAAGACTGGCCCTGGGCTAACATCCATGCCCATCTTCCTCCACTGGAAAGTAATTACTTTTAATTAAACTCTTTCGTGATTTTCAAAAATTCCTCCTTTCGTGTTATTTCCAAGGAGAGTCAGAAGCAGGCCAGGCCCATCCTGGGCACCAACTCCATCCTGCTGGCTGGGGCGGCCGCTATGCAATGCTAATGTCCGTGGGCCTCCACGTCTTCCATCATTGACGTGCAGAGGTCAGCGAGCTCAGTGCACGGGTGTGGGTATGCTCAGAAGAGAGGGAGAGAAAGAAACCCAGGCCGTCCCGATCATTCAGAAAGTTCTTTTCATGCTTGCTTCCTCAGCACATATACTAAAATTGGAACCATACAGAAAGTTCTTTTCATGCCCACTCCCAGAGGGAAAGCATTTTACACACCTCACAGGTGACAAGAGGTAATACAGCACATGGCTACAGCTGCTGCAAGCCCAGGAGTTATTATTAATACCCCAGGCGGAATATTATTATTATCATTTGTTGCTGTTGTTGTTGTTGTTTAGGGAGGGCCCTCCCCCCACTCAGCATTTAGGAAGAAATCAGAGACAACAATAACATCTCCCTCATTCTCAGATTTAAGTACTCTCTCCCTTCACAAAATGCCCAGCAGTCTGTTTCCTGACAATTAGAATATTCCGGAGTCAGACTCCCTCCACCGCAACATGTGATCTGGGACTTACCACCAGCCCAGATGCAGGTACCACCTGCATGGGACTCTGTCCTCCGTCGTGGGGGGGAGAAGGGCTTCCAGCCCTTCTCTGCTGCTCACCCCACCATGACCCGCCCAGCTCCTGAGCCCATCTGAGCCTCGGTTCCTTCTGTCCGATGACAGGAGGCTTGAGCGTGCGGTCACACCGTGTGTGTGAAGCGCCTTAACCAGTGCAGGGTACCCGCCGTCTCAGAATTGGAGCTCGCCTGCTCTGGCCCGCTGTCTGGAGCGGGAAGTGGTGTGGAGGTCATGCGGGAGGAGCTTTCATTTACAGCTGGCACACGAGTCCCGAGGCTCGGGTCCCCTGACGCCCGCCCAGCGCTCTGTAACTGACTGCCCCCCCCCCCAACCGGGGCGTGGTCCAGGACTCGGTGGCTTCACGTTAGCACTTAGTATTCACTCCTGAGTCTGGGCTTAGCACATTACAGGTGCTCTCTGGTTCAGTCTTCACGCCTGCTCGCTGTGGTAAGTCTGAGTATTTTTTTCTATTTTTCAGATGAAGAAACTGAGGCTCAGAGAGGTTCAGGAATGCCCCCGAGGTCGCACAGCTGGTAAGTGGCCGAGCTGGGATTTGAACCCAGCTCTCTTTGACTTCAGAACCTGTGCTCTTACTGGCGCTGCTTTCTCTGCCTTCAACAGTGTTGAGATGATTGCCCCCTTCCCCTCAAGTGTGGGAGACCGGACTTGCTTATCGTATGTCTCCCATTAGCTCCCAGGACACGGTAGGCTCTCCGTATATACACGATGTTTAGAAGGCAGCCCTTTCTGAGCCCATGTGGTCGAGCAGTGTTCAGGAAATGGGATGCTGGTCAAATTGTTGGAAAGTTCTGGTCAGCCGAGTATTTCCCCTTTTTGCCACCTTGAAATGCACGAATGGGTCGACCAACACGTACAAATGAGAAATGCATTCTGCCCCTGTTCTAAAGATGAGATGCTCCCTGCGCAGACTGTGTCTATAGACTATTTCGAAGATGGATGTGTCCTTCTTTGTGATTCAGAAAGTAGGACCTTGTCTTCGTGGTGGGAAGGAGGGCAGGGCAGGCGGTGGAGGTGAGGTCCAGCATGGGCCCCCGCACCCCACCCCACATCCAGGTAGGCACCACCAGATGCTGCTCTCTCCCCCAGCCTCTCTTCTGCATCCTCGCCGTGGCTCTGACTACATCCATTTTCTCCTGGTCCTGCTGCTTCTCCTGTCCCCCTCTCCCGTCACCAGCAACGCCCGTTGTCTCCTCTTCCTCATCCTTGACACCCACTCTCTTCATTGCGGAAGATTTCCTAGAACCTGTTTCTGAAAAATCTTTGAGAATGAACAAGCCTGACTTAGTAACATGACCGCAAATTAAATGCCTGATTTGAGTTCCGAAGTCTCCAGAGAAACCCCAGAGTGGGGGTGGAGGTGGGTGTACATTCTGGGGCCACCAGCACGGACAGTGGGTGTGGTCTGCTAAGGGCTTCGGTTTTCAGACCACTTTAGGGGTGCTGAGGCGGCCCAGCAGCTGGGCTAGTGGTCCCCACCCCGTGTCAACCGGAAAAGCTCGGTTTCAGTAGCTCGTTTCTGCTTGGGTAAGATCCAGTTTAAAGAAAATGTGAAAACCACTATCTAACAGCAAATGCTCATGTCCAGAAATCTGGAAAGCTGTTTCTGGCTCTGGCTCTGCCACATCACACTGTGTGGTGTTTGCCAAGTCCCTTCCCTTCACTGAGCCTTGGTTTCTCCACCTGTACAGTGGGATATGGACCAAATACAGCTAAGCTAGACCCTAGGCTGTGGTTTCCTGGCTGGGGCAGCAGGGACCCTTTGATGATGCTCATGCAGATTCCTGGGTTGACAGGAAAGAGCTGTTGGGGCAGAGAACTGAGAAGGGGTGTTGTTTGATAAAAACAACTCCATCCTCTGTGGGTTCCCCGGTCAGGACAGACCCAAGCCACGCACACCCCTGGGTTCAGGAATGAGTGCCCCGTGGCTGACAGAGACCATTCCACCATTCCAGAGAAGTCAGACTCTGAGGCTCCAGGCTCTCCGGGAAACAGACCCGGGGACCCCACAGAAGCGCCAGGTGCCTCGCCATGTGCTGTGCACCACACATCCTGCCCCAGCCACAGAGGAGCCCCGCAGGCAGGACTCACACTTGCTTGCACCGCTCTGGGCGGCTGTACAGATACTCTGTGGTTTTGCAGTATTTTTGGCTTTGTTGTTTTCGCAAAAGCCAAAGGAAGTCTGTAGGCCGAGCTGTGCCTCACCCTCCCCGAGGACGGCTGATCGGCTTGGTTGGGGACAAGCAGAGCTCAGCTAGGAGAGGAAACCTCCAGACACAAGGTCCAGAGGTCAGAAGGCACCTGCTCTGAGCTGCACCCTGTCCCAGGCCATTCATGGGCAGGGCTGGTCTGAGGTTGTCGTCGTAATCATCTCATTTTCCATAGGAGGATGCAAGGTCCAGAAATGACCAAGACCCCCCAACTTTCACTACGCACAAACCAGAATGAACCTCTGCTCCCTGAGCTGGAGCACTTTTCCCTCTGCCTTCAGTCCACAAGTATTTGAGGGGCTACCACTGTTCTCAGCAGGGGGACACAGCAGCAAGGGACCCAGATGAAGTCCCTGTTCTCCTGGTAGGAGGGAGCCAGACAGACAAAGAAGGAATTCAGTATACAATGGAGTGTCATTTTGTGGTTGTCTGTGAAGGAAAATGCAGTGGAGCAAGGGGCTAATGACAGTGATGCTGTTTTAGGCTGATCCGGGAAGGCCCCTCCAAGGAGGGCATTTGGACAGAACCCTGAATGCAGCGAGGGAGCAAGCCATGTGGCTTCTAGGGTAAGAACATTCTAGGTGAAGGGAACAACATGTACAGAGGCCCCGGGGCAGGGAATTTGCTTGTTGTACCATCACACTGTTTGATTCTGATTCTCCCCCACTCTCCCAGCAACACGGCTACTACTCATCTCGAATATTCCCTCCATCTGTCACCTCCAAATATCTAGGGGTGTGGCAGACGGTAGTGGTTGTGTAGCAAGAAAAATCAAACAGAATTAAATGAGGCAGAAGGAAGGTGTATCTCTAACAGGAAATTACTTGTCTCATTTCTTAATCCTCTTTGTACAGTTCACTCTCGGGTGACATTTAAAATAGGTTTATATTCTTGCTTTGCATTTATTCTCGAAACGCATGTTCAAACCAGTTCTATGAGTTTTTAGCGCACTGTAATCCACTATTTCAGGCCTATCTTCGCAAACAAGGCAGGAACCTGGATTCCAAAACCACAGAAATAGAGCAAGAAGTCGTGTTAGGGCTGCACCACTGACTCGAGTTGACCTCAGGAGGGGGAGCTGTAGCATCAGAGCTGGGGGTGGGGTGGGGCATGGCCATTAGCAGGCTGGGACCTTAGGCAGGCCTGTCCCGTCTGGGGGCTCAGTTCACCCTGCCATCTGATGGTGGTATTGATGCCGGACTGGCTCCTGCTGGACAGCTCATGGGTCGGGCGTGCTAGAAGGGACATGCATTGGAAGTTAGGGCCCCAGGTTCTATCTTGGTGCCACCAGACTCCTGTAGCTTGGGCAAGTCAGGTCCCTTCCCTGAGCCTCAATGTCTTTACCTGGAAAAGGAAGCAGAAAGGTATGGGCCTCCCTGCCTTCCTCTGCAGTCCTGAAGTGCCACAAGCCTTTGCCTCCAAGGCAGGCAGCAGCCAGGCACGGGGAGGGAGCCTTCCGGCAGCTCTCCTTTGATTCTGTAGACTTATGGCCCTTAGCAGAGAGACGCCCAATGAAAGGGGCACAACCTTGGTGGTCCTGCCTCAGGCATTCAGATAAGAGCTTAGAGCGGTCCTCACCTCTCCCTGATCTGGGACCTGTGGCTCCAGAGCCGGAAGCTCATTTCTGTGAGCTTAGGAATGTCTCTCTTTCCTCAGGGCCCTGAAGGACTTACTAAGTCCTCCATTAACTGAATCTCATTCAGCTGGAAAAATAATAATCAGAAAGCAGTTTTGCCTGGTTACCAGTCTGTGGGCTCCTTGAAAGTGTCCCATAAGGAATGCTCAAGAAGCTTCTGTCCCGTGAGACTCAGAGCCAGCCCTGCCTGCTTCCTCCCCAAGGAGCAGGCAGCCTGCTGGTCGACCAGCAAGCCCATTGTCAATCAGCATCATTGCCTTATCCATCTGTCCATCTACCCATTAGACAGTCCCCATGAGGGGCCGGGGCCAAGGGCACCATACCAGGACACAGAACTAAATAAGACACAGTCTGTGCCCTCAGTGGCAGTTCAGGCTCAACCCGCCCACTTTCTCCTTTTGGTCGAATTCCAGAGAGTGCATGGCTGAGCTCATGCGCAAGGTCACAAAAACGCAAACATTCAGAAACTTTCACCTCTCTACATTGTCTGTTTTGCCCGATGTCTGCCCCAAATTCATAGGCTTTACACGTTCTGTGTTTACTAGCTAAAACTAACGTCTCTCTCTTCAGTGAAATCAGATTTTCTTCTGTTCAGTTCCATCCATTACGTCCGAGCCTCACCAGAATTCTGGGGGAAAGGGGAGGAGAGGGCTTCAGGGAAGTGTTCGTGGGAAGGTGGTACTTGAAACGTGAAGTTCACTGGCCAGGAGGAAGCAGGAGACAGAAAGGCGCTCCATCAACAAGGGCGTTTTATTGATAATAACGTACTTTAATATGTGGAAAGTGGAACAGCACAGGTGTAAGGTCTGGAATTTGACTTTATTCTACTTATGAGCTAATAAGTTAGCCTGTTAGTGTTTCATGGACGCTGGCGGAAGACAGGAGACTCCCGGGTCAGAGACAAGGGCCGTTATTACTCACGGCGCAGCCAGCAGCATTACCATCAGGTCTGTGTTGGCTCCCTTCGCCCCTGAGGCCACGGGGGCCAGGCAGATGGCCCAGGCAGACGCCTGCACGTGTGCTGGGCTGCAGTACAGAACAGGAACCCTGAGCTTGGAGAATCCACCGTTGTGTATCCAACATGAAGCAAGCCACTTTTTTGCCCCAGAGGGAGACTTTCCCTCATGTTTCATGATTGTTTACGGCAAACACAACCCTGAAAACTGACCCAGATAAAGAGCGGTCAAGGCCTTTTATTCTTAGCCTGCTCAGAAATCACGTATGAATGTGGGACCCGTGGAGGAGTGTCTCCTAACAGTAAGTCGGCATTGAAAGTCTGGATTTGAATCCCTGATCCAACACCTGCTAACTGTGAGATTAGGCGAATTGCAATCGCTGGGCTTCTTTTAACCTCAGTTTTCTTTTCTGTAAAATGGGGATGATACCCACCTTCAGGGGATTGTTAAAGATTGTGGAAGAGTACTCTTCTAGGAGCATGGTAGGAAACAAAACACAGTCTCTGAGCTCAAGGAACCTAGTTTCATGGAGAATCTTGTCAGCTACACACAAGGATATAATGTCGGAAAACAGAGGCAGGGGAAAATGCAGAGGGTGATACATACCATGATTCAGGGATACAGAAGGTTCAGAGGCAGTCTCTCCAAGGGGCTGAGATTGACCCAGCACCCCAAGTTAAGTAGAGGGGATCTTAACATCTGTGGGAAGAGCA